TATCTTTGCCGTGGTGTCCTGTCAGAGCTGTCTGGTGGGGACTGCCCTGTGGTGTGGGTCACCTGGTGCATGCTTTTCCCCTCCCTGGGGCTTTTTTTTGGCTTAGTTTTTGGTAGAATTGAACCAACCTGTTTCAGAAAAAAAAAAAAAAAGGGATGAGACCCCTCTGGGGGTGGGGGCAGGGGGTCCTGTCCTTACCCCAGCCATGCACACCAGTGAGGATAGCAACTTCTTGGGCTTTATAGCTAACACAGGGATGCTGACTTTTCTTTTTCTGAAGGCACATAGAAGGGGGAATTTTCCAGAAACAGTTTTTAAAGGACAAATGCAAAACAGAAGGAATGCAGAGCGAGCAAGAACGCCAGCGTCTGGATGTCCCAGCATCCCTGCTGCAGGCTGGGGGATTGAGAGGGAAAAATGTGATGGCATAGTAAGGGAGGGGAGATAATAAAAAGGGAAATGAAATAAACACAAGGGAAAAAAAATAGCCAAGCTGCATCTCAATAGGCTATGGGGTTCAATGAGCAGCTGGGACAAAAAAAAAAAATTCAAACATCGTGCTTTCTGAATAATACAGAGATCGGAGCACAGGTGATAAGAAAATGAAGGAAGGAGGAAAAAAATAGGAGAAATTACTGAAGGGAGGAAACTGCAGGTGATGTGCTATTTTGCTATGCTAATAAAGAGATGAAAGCAAATGGAATAGGAGCAGAGACTGGCAAAAGTCTTACTTTTGTTGGGAAGACTAAGAGGATAAACGTTTTTAACATTTATGAAGTAGCAAAATAAAGCAAAGAAAGGCTCAGAACATCAAGCCTGTAGATGAGGAAATTAAAGTACATAAAATATTTATTCATTTGTGCTTAGTGGCTGTCAGCCATGCATGCATTGGAGAAATGGTATGTTTCTAGGCACAGTTTTATTCTTTCTCCTATTTTTTTCCCTCCTCTCCCAGAGATGAACAAGAACAATTTGCTAAATAGTGGCTGAACGCTCAGCTCGTTTTCTACATCCCATTAATGTTTCATTTCTTAATACCCTCGAAACAAAAATGGGAAGTTGGTATAAAACATTTTTCTCCTTTCAAATCATGGTAAAAAGGAACGTGGTTCCAGGCCAATAATCAAGATTATAAACTGGCATCTGTATTAAAATGGGACCGTGGTGCCGATAGTACGTGCCAGCTTGGAAGAGGCCCTCTAACGAGCTGCAGAAAGAGATGTAAGACAGGCTTTCTCCTGTCACCAGCTGTCTCTATCCTGGCCCATGAGGACCATTTCTGGAGGAGGCTCTCGGCTTCCTGGCCAGTGAAGAAGGACCTGATGTCCTTGCCTGCACGGCGAGCGCATTTGCCTGTTCGGGTGACGTGTTGGTTTGTGTGCTGGAAATGAAAGCAGCTTCTTAATTATGCTTTTTAATTATGAATGCTGGCCCTGGTGGATGGAGGGTCCCTGAGATCGCCATCAGGTGGGGATGCTGCTGGTGCCCTCCTGTCCCTGCGTGGCGGGGCTGTGTCCCCAGGGGACCCTCACCTGGGGGGCATGGGGACGTTGTCCTCACCGTCAGCTTGTCCTGGGGCAATGACACCAGCAGCAGGTGTGGTGTTACCAGGTGAGGTCTGGAGATGAGAGCCTCCTGCTTGTGCGCCTCTGCGGCTTTCTGTGAAGCATGGGGAGGTCAATATTAATTTCATTATGGGAAAAAAAAAGTCTTGGTTTTACTGGAAATAATAGATTCTTGGAGATTTTTTTTTTTTTGGTCTGGATATTATGGCTTTCATTGAGATACTTGGAAAATGTAAACTGAAGTCACTTAATTGACTTCCCTTGGATCTGCCAACTTATACCAGCTGAAAAGACGCTTTTTTGTCTTTGTTCCGGTGACAATTTTATCTAAGTAAAGCTGAGCCAGTATGAAGGAAATAAGGAGAAGCTGATAACCACAACAAGCAGCTTACTGCATAGCCAGATGATGCAACTTTCATCTCTGATGCGGGATCAGAATTCTCTCAGAAAGGCAGAAAAATAGAAGCACCAATTTCTCAGGATCACTGCTGAGAAATCACTGTAACAGCTTCTAATGGCGCTTTATGGAAGGCACACATGAACTCCCACATCGCCGAGATTACAGAGCTTCAGGACCGGGGGCTGTGTGCTGAGCATCCCAATTCCGTGGTGGCTGGAAGCTGTCCCCTACAAGGGCTCGGGCGCTGTCATCCATGGAAGTGTTTGGGCTGTTGTGGGGTACTGCAGGGGTGTCCCAACGTCTGCATGGCAGCGGGGTGCAGGATGTGTGCTTTGCTTTCCGTCTCCACTAACTCTTTTTCTCTCTCCTCTGAAGGATGTGGTGCTGGGCTCCCTTTGTATTTCCCCCCAGCCTTTGTTGTCTATGTTCTGTATATTGACTGTCTCGCAAGCCCTTGCACTCTATTCTGCCACTGCTTAATTTAATCCTTGAATTTGATCAATACTTCATGAACCATGCATTTGCTTAAAAGAAAAAAACACCAACAAATAAATAAAAAAATCTTTTTTGGTTGCTTTATGCAGGTTCTGTTAGGCTGATGCAGTCAGTGGTGCTGAGCTGCCCTCCATTTAATGAGCAAGCAGCCGTGTTCTGTGCGCCCTGGAAGGGAGGGGAGCTTGGAGGAGAAAACCACATGCTCCCAAAATTGGGTGCTTGGGACATTGCTGCTGGTGTCAGGCTCAGAGGTGATCCTTTCTGTTGCAGAGGTGGCTGGAGGCACCAGAAGGGACTCCGGGTCCTGGGCTCTGCCCACCTGGAGCCCATGGGTGGCACTGGTGGGGCAGCATCCGCGTAACGAGCCGATGTGCTTATCAAGAGCAGCACAAGTCCTCCAGCACTTGTTCCATCTTTAATCAAATTTGTACAGCCTCGGGCCATTTATGGGGAAAAAGTGTTTTCCATCTGTAATAAGGGGAAAGTTTCTGTCAAGTGGAGCAAATCCTGATAATGACGCTATCCTTTCTTGCTGCATTTTACTATGAATTTCTCAAGAATAGCCTCAACAAAGTAATGATGCATGTAGAAGATTATTCAAGCTCTATAAGCCGTCTGATAAACGGTAGCAGCAGCTTCCACTTCCAGGGCTTAGCAATGAATTAGCATGTCTGGCTTTCTAAATCACGCTGCGCAAAGGAGGCAGGGAAGCCTGCTCATAAAACTGCAGCGTGGACATGTTTTGTTTAAAGGGACAAGCGTGCTGCTGGGCATTTCACCTCTACCAGAGGGAAACCATCCCCAGGGAAGCTCGTGAGGATGTCAGCCCCAAAGGGAGTGCCGATGAGCACCAGGAGGGCAACAAAAAGCAGCAACAAAAACACCTCTACCATTCTTTTGATAAAGGTCAGTTGACTCCCTGCCACCTTGGAGCCCATAACAAAATCCATGGTACTTCGTCTGTAATTTGATTTTCCCATTCAGTGAGGGTGGTAAGCATTAGTGTCGCTGTAATTTTACAGAGCGCCGTCGGATAACAGAGGCATATCCAACACGGAGATTATGTGCGATATCGGTGGCAAAATATTATACCCAGCAATGATTTAGAAGAACATTAATGTCTTAGGCATGCTATAAGACATGCCATGAATTAGACAATAAAATGTCTCGTTCTTCAAATAATTACTCACGGGCTGACATTTTGCTGTTCTGGAGACAGATTAGCACCTATGGAGCTGGAGCTGCCATCAGCAGCGAGTGACCTGCAAACATTTTTCCTAAAGCAGGCACCTTTATTCTTCAGCAGATAATCCCTCGTGTCGGCGAGCCGGGCAGGTGATGCCGCCTGGAGGAGTGAGTGATGCTGCACATTTTGCACAGATCGATAGCGGGATCTGTGTAGACCACGGATATTTTTGTGTTTAATTCACTGCGTAAAATGAAACAGGTAAATCACTCAGAAGAGATGTGAGCTGATGTTAATAGCTACATTTGTAGCACTATCTAAAAATGAATTCTGCAATTACTGACTCATAACATCATTTGTGCTCCACGGCATGAAATCTCTGCAGCGAGGCCTCTGCGCCCCAGCCAGCCTTCCCGGAGCAGCAGGCAGCGATGGGCACACCAGCTCCAGCACCACGGGAGGTGGGCTGGGGTCTGCTGGCGTTGGGGCAGCACCAGGGGCAATGCCTGAGCGTGGTGATGTGCCACGAGCTGTGTGCTGTCCCCTGGGCTGCAGGGCACGGTCTGGCTCTCCATGGCCTCGCAGGAATTGAGCTGAGCTGGGCGCAGGAGCAGAAGCACTGGCTGGGTTTGGGGCTGTGCTGAGCACCACGGGGGAGCCAGCCGGGTCTCTTTGCTTTTCCTGCATCATGGCAGGGAGGCAGCAACGTGTGTAGCTCTGCTCAGCTCTGCTCTCCCAGCTTTCTTACAGGAGGCTTGTATTGAGCACGGACCACAGAGCTTGGCTAATGGGGAGCCCGCTCACCCAGGGCTCATAGCAGTACCTAAAATCTACAGCAGGGGAGAATAACCATGGCTGAGGGTGAGAGGCTGCAGGATTAGCATGAACACGGATCGTTGGAGCCATTCACCACCTGCTGCTGCTGGCACAGAGCCGTGCCCTGCTCTCGGGGCTGTGGTCTTTGGGGTGCCTGCATTGAGGGGCCACGCTGGAGCGATGGGCAGCAGGGATGTGATCCCCCGTGTGTGGTGCTGCTGCCTGGTCCCAGCCCTGCAAAAAGAGGAGTAGAGGATCAGGGGCCCAGACGATGCAAATGTCAACCAATTTATCAGGAAAGAGCAAAATTAATCACTCGGATCAGCAGAGTCATTGTGGTTTACTGAAAGCAAAACAAAACAATTATTTGACACTTGTTGGGGGGCTGTGGCTAATCTCGTTACGCACAGAGCAGTTGAGCACTGGGGAAATCTCACGGTGCTGATGAAAGGCTCAGCAGCTGCATGAAGCGATTAGGGTGAAATCTCCCCAGGTGTGCTGGTGCTTTTGGGCTGGGTGTGGGGCGTGTGCTTCCTCCCCAAGCCCTCTGCCCTGCAGGGAAGGCTACCATGTGCTGCACCAGGCACCCAAAGCTGCTGAACAGAATAAATTAGCTGTTTGTGGAGAAGAAAGGAGCGTTAGGAAGAAGCTGCTTGATTGTAGAGAGAGCGGTTATTCAGGGGCAAGGAGCTGGGTGGGATTGGGGATGTGCATGGGCACGCAGACACCATTGGGTACCTCCGTGGGGCTGGGGGGTCCCAACCCTCATCCCCAGTCCCGAGGACACCGCTTGGAGAGGGGATGGTGATGGGAGCAGGGAGAGTTACAGGAGACAGTGGTGGGATGGTCACTGGGCACGTGGAGCTCTTTGCACTGCAGAACAAAGATGTCGTGTCCCAGAGGGTGGTAAAAGATATTTATGGGTTGCCATGCAGGCCGTAATTGAATGACATTAGAGTGGTGGGATTTTTTTAAAAAACCCTAAATCATTCCAGAGCTCTCGCTACTGTTTTAAATTGTAACTTGGCTTTTTAAAAGTTTATCGTGCACTAATTCATCCAGCTCGTTCATTTACATTCTGCTGACAGGGTATAAAACTGCTGCTTTTTTCATCCCAGAAAATTCTAACTTTGCAATTTATGGTGCCTTTTTGATTTAATCAGGATATTTCCTAAATTCCATGGCACTAACATGGCATTTTTCAAGAAGCACCTGAAAGATGTCTGGCTGTTATTTACGCCCCGGTGCAGCCAGTGTTCCTGGTGTGTCCCCACGAGCTGCTGATGGCTGTACCCAGCTGGGGCGCTCCCATGGGAATCGCCAGAGCCTGTCCCCATCCCAGGGGAGCATCACCTGCAGAGGCCCTTTTGCCTTGCTCCAGAGAGCCGGTGTCATGCCGTTACATGCTGAAACACTGTTATTTCACTCTTCCGAACGCTGTCAGAGCAAGTCACAGGAGGGATTATTTTTGGCTCTCTCCAGCGTAGTTACCTAGCAATTTGCACGAGGCTTGGCATTACTGGGTAGTTACTCGAGCCGTGTGAGCTGCTTTGCAGCAGGCACTTCATTTGTCAAATTTAGTTCCTTTTACTGTTCGCAAATAGTCCAGACACCAGCTTGGAGTCTTACAAATTTGTTCTCTGTTGGAAAAATTTCAGCCCTGTTGGTTGTTTGTGAAATATTTCCTCTGATCATTGCTTCTGAGCGCCTGCCTGGGCGCAGCCACCCCGACGGAGCCTCCATTCCCTGCACGAGGAAGAGAAAGCCACAGCATATCCTGGTATCGATGCTCTTTAGGACATTGCTTGGAAATGTCTTCCAGTATTTGACTTTTCAAGTTCCTCAGGTTGAAAAGAAATAACGTGCCAACTTCTTCCTCTTCTGGCTTCTCGCTGTGTCCTGGCTTCTCATGGATTTCAGCGCACACAGCATCGCTGCTTTAATGAGCCATAAATGGTATTTACATTTGGTGTATTATCTCTGGGGTAATTTGTGTTTTTTTTGCTCACCCAGGGCATTTACAGGCCTTCTCTTTCCTGCAGAACTTGAAGAATAGTAGTGAAGAGCTGTTGTTATTCAGCTAATAAGCAATATTGATTGCTCGAAAGCAGAAGAGTTGCTGCCTTCCATCTTCCCAGCGCCTCCCCTCTGCTTCCCCCTCTGCTCCCCCAAGCCCAGCGTGTGCGGCACCGTGAGGCGAGTGCTGTAGCTGAAGGACATCCATTTAATCTCATCAGCATCACAGTGCGCTCGTTCTTCTGCGAGCAGCTTCTGTGCACGCGAGATGATGCTATCAGGTACACCCGGCGCTTTCCAGAGGAAATGTGTTTATAAAACTTTGCTCCCACGGCACATAAATGTTTGTTAGCTCCATTATCCCCATCATTTTGTTCTCCAAAGTGTTGCAAAGAAGATGAAATGAGAGTGATGGTGCTTTTGGAGCTCCAGTGCACGCTGGATGTTTGCTTTAAATAGAATTAACCATGCAAATTGAATCATGTGAGTGTAAATTAGCGTTCATTTCGCTGGTGTTCTTGGTACCGCTTAACCTACCATTTACCCCAAGACATCTGCTAAGTGCCATTCTTTCAAGTACTTAAACAGCACCTATTGCTACCAAAAAAATCCCGGCCCCACGGAACAACAAAGCTGCTGGAAAGCCTGTAATTATCATCAGAGGACTATTGTGGCTGCAGGAGGGAGCGGGTGCGCGGCTCCCCGGCGCTGGTGCCCGCTCACAGCAGAGGCAGCGCGGGGCCGGGCGCTGCTCACACGCTGCTGCAGCTTGCTGAGGTTTGCTGGGGCCTGGGAGGGCTGGATTCGGCCCCAGACCCTGCTCGGCTTCGGGCTGGGTGCTGGGAGGCAGCCCAATCCAGCACGGGGGCTGGTGAGATGTGCATGGCAAGCAGATGAGCAGCAGCTTCTTTCCCACCACCTGCCCCGGCGAGGCTCCAGCACGAGGCAGAGCGCAGCCCTCTAGCACAGAGCAGCAGCTGGGGGAGGCAGCCACAGCCTCCTGGTGCTGGTGCCAGGGCTGTGGTACAGGGGACTGGAAGCACTGGAAGCGCTGGAAACGTGCCCCAAGAGGAGTGCTGCTGGGCTCCCCAGCCAGGGCCTCCCTCCTGCGCCAGCCCTGGGAGGAGGGCGCAGCCTCTGGGTGAGATTTCGGTGTCCATTATCTCCTGCTGGCATCTCGTCCTCACCCACCAGGAAAGGGAGAGCCCACGGCAGCCACCAGCCCCGAGCCCTGGCGGTGTGATCTATTATTTACACCCTTATTTAAGCCTCCGTGGTCAGAGCTGGGAGGATGAACGCAGGAACCTCACCAAGGAGCGGCGGGTGGGAAGCCACGGGCAGAGCCCTGCAGGTTGGGTTTGCTTCTGCAGATCCAGGCACGGATAACAGCAGAACCCATGGGGACAAGGATGGGAGGGGATGGTGCTGGCTGTGCCAGCAGTGAGGGCAGCCCGAGGAGCATCCCTGGGTCCTCCCTGGCTTCTCCTGCGACTCGTGCCACCTCCCTGCAACGTGAGGGAAGTCACCGCGCCTCGCACGAAGAATCGGGCGCAATTCCTCCAAAGCATTTATGCAAACCTCAGACGGCAATGACACGTCGGCTCGTGTGATCCTGTTAACAGATGGTCCGAAGACAGGCTCGAGATCTGAATTAGTCCTGGGTTCCTGTAACGTGGCTGGGAGCATATGGCCCGAATGGATTCGTATCGGAGCTTTAATAGCGAAGTAAACTATCTCAGATAAATAAAGGAAAAGGAAGGAGAAAAAAAAACACTTCACCAGCACTCAGACTGTGCTGAAAGGCTGCGGCAGTCCCTCATCCAGCTCGTGCTTCCTCCCAGCAGCAGACGAGGTTTGGCTGTTGATGATCCGGGCAGAAGTGAGCAGCTCTCTGCTGCACAAGCACAGCCTGCACAGCCAGGTGGCTGCCCCTGGGCGCAGCCCGGGATGGAGATGTCACAGCAGCGCAGAGGAAAGCCTCGCAGGTGGTGGAGCTGGCTGCCACGCTCGTGGCCTGCGCTTCACCCACCCCGGGCTTGTTTCACAGTGGATGGAGCTTTTGCCTTGGTGCTGTGGATCGCAGGAGGAGGGCACAAGTGCTGGAGGAGCAGCGCTGCACTTCGGACAAGGGCCACCACCAAATCCCTCCCGTGCAGGATGTCCCCAGCGAGCCCCAGGCTTGTGGCCTGGGGAACAGCTCCACAGAGGCCCTGCTTGTTGCTAATCCCATCTGGCATTTTGTTTTATTGCAGGGCTACAGGAACGGCGGTGATGGATAGCTTGTGTTCTGCCGTTTGTCACACCGCTGCTGCATGTTTTATCAGCTGCTGGTTTCGAACTCCAAGCCATCAGTAGGGTACTATTTCGGAAAGTGGGACATCATACGTTGATTTCTTATGGTTTCATGAATTCACAAAATAGTGGGTTTTTTTCTTTTTATTTCAGCCTTAATATGTTTTTTAAGCAGCTTGCCTGTGCTGCTTGGGATTTCTCTAAAGAACAAACACAGTGTGATACATATGGTGAAAATGCTGAGCGATGATGTTTGATAATGCTAATTAAATAGCATGTGAATATTAAGCAGCGTCCCCTGCAGTAGCTGCGTGCCCTGTGCCATCAGGAGAACCACGGCGTTCCCACCAGCAGGTGAGCTGGGGCCTCGAGTCCAGAAGGCAGCATCTGGATGGGAAGGGAAGTTGTTTTAAAGCTGTGCTGGTTTCAGTCAGCTGGGGTCTGGATCCTCACCCAGGGCGAGTTCTTCCAGTAACCCAAATAACCAGTCCCTAAATAGCATTTTCTGGCTAGGTACGATGTGCTCTCCCTTTTTCTTGCGAGCAGCCGGTGGCCCAGTCCCCCCACTATCCGCCAGCCTCACCAAGCTGGATGCATTTTCAGTTTCCATGGTGATTGCATGGCTACGTGGAGCGGGATGGGGCTCACTGTGGCACCACGAGCTGCTTCATTCACTGTCCCATGGGGCTGGCACGAGCTGCTCGGCGGGCAGCAGAGCCCCCGGGGCTGAAAGCTGCACAGCCGGGCACAGGGCACGGCCAGAGCCAGGGTTATTCCTCTGCAAAAAGAGATCAGGGCTCCCCCTGTGCTGCCAGTGACATCTGCAACCCCGCAGAAAAGCACAACGTGTATTTATATATATATACATCTATTTACCAGGGCGGCGAGACAAACGAGCCCGGCTCTCGGAACCATTCATCTAACTTGTTCACTCAGGACCCCTGTTGCTGCCGTAACCTTTTCCAAGTAAATTAAGCCCTGCGCCTGGGTCTGCTGGCTGTGCTGAGCTGTGCTTGGAGGCACAGCCACCCACAGGAGGTTTGCAGGTGCTGACAGCGAAACCCTGCTCCGTGCAGAGTGCTCGGAGAGCAGGGGTGCCCCGGAGCAAAGTGGCCGGGCTCTGTGCTGTGCAAGCAGCAACTGTGGCCGCCTTTTCCTCTGCTGCTGGATGCCACCCGTGTCTCCAAGAGAAGTCTCAGCGTGCCGTGGTTCTCAGCCTTTCTGCTCCCAGCAGGCTGAGCCACGGCCATCGTGCTGAACGGTGCCGCGAGGTGAGGGAAGCAAGCGCCCACGAGGAGCAGGGGAGCCACCGAGTTGTGTCGCTGTGGGAAAGCTGCTGCTGGCTTTGTTCTGCAAGCACCCCTGATTTACGAGGCTCTCCTCTGCCTTCAAATCACTTTGCTGACGTGCAGCAGGAAAAAGCAAGACGGGGTTGCAGGCTGAGGCTCTGGCTGCGCTCTCTGCACACGTGGAGCGCCGATGGTGCTCCAGCTTCTCATTGCCAGGCAATGGCTGGCTGCACCCACCTGAATTATTAATGCCTGGAGCTGAAGGGCAGAGAGGTAGATTACACCTCTTCCTCCGCTCTCGGGAAGTCGCAGGTGATTGATGCTTGTCTGTTGTCTTCATTTTCATGTTTCCCATTCCCGGGGCAAAGGCAGCCAAGGGCAGCACCCCCAAACCTCGGCTGCTCTGCGCGTGCTGCACCTCCGAGCTCCGACCCACGCGGTTCCTGCTGCCTGCCATGAGGATCCCTCTCTCCTCGGCCTGAATTTGGTGACCAAGGGTGATGGAGGGAGCTGGTTTGGTGAAGCAAGGCACAGGCAAGCCTTCCTTGTCCCATGTGCCATTCTTTTCTTTTTTTTTTTTTTTTTCTTTGCCATTCTGCGCTTGTTTTGGGCATGGAGGGGGATGTGAGACCCTCCAGTCCCCATACACAACACCGTGTTGTGTCAGGAGGGACAGCGTTGTTTGCAGAGGCTGCCACCAACCAGAGGGAGCAGCACAGGGTGGCTGCAGGGTGTCCCCTTGTCCCCCAGCACGGGCTGGGTCACAATGAAACCATTCGCAGCTCAGTGTCAATGTTAACTGGAAATAGCCCCAAAACCAAAGTTGCTTTCCCGAGTCTGACTAATTGTTTTCTGGCGAGTGAGGATTCATCAGATTAAATCGAGCTTCTGAGTCCCATCGTAATCGAGAGGTTGGAAATTGAAATGGAAGAGAAACGGTTTGGGGGGCATCAATGATGGAAACCTTGTAGGCAGTTTAAAATGAGTGAAATAAGACTTTCCAAGGTAACGATCAACAGCACTGTTAGGGACCACTCTGTGACGCCCCAGGCTGTTTCTGTACGGGTCCCCATGGGGATCGGTCCCATGCCAACATATACGTTTTGGGGACCGTGACACCCCTTTCTGCTCCCCTCTCCCCAAGGACAGTGTCCTTCCAGCAGGACTCCGCTCCCCTGCCGCCTTCCCTGCCGGCCACAGCCGGTCACAGTTATCTTGGTGGATTTCCTGTGCCCATGACAAATATACCTCATTCCCTTTTTAACAATCCCACAGCCAATAAAAGAGAATAAAATGTGAAGTGACACACAAATTGTATCCCCAAAGAGCGCTAAAGTGCTAAACTGCTGCTCCTTGCGATAATCGGATGAGATTTTTGTCTTTAAACAAATAACCCTAGTTAGCAAAGAAGAATATTCAGAGAGTGGGATGGAGGAGCAGGGGCAGCTCATGGCAGGCAGCGGGTGCGTCCTGCTCGGGGCAGTGCCCCACGTCCTGGGGTGCCCGCTCCAGCCAGACATCCCCAGAGGGCAGGATGTGGCCCTGCGCTCTGCTTGCCACAAGGAGATCACTTTAATTCCTCTTTGTGCTCTATGTGAAGCAGCAAAGTTCCCAATCCTGCCCACAGAGCACCTAAACGGGCTGTTTTGCTGCACGGTGGGGAAAAGGGGTCTGCAAGCCAGGCTGGTGCAGCAGGAGGGGAGCACGGTGCTCACACATCACCTGGGTGCTGCCGGCCCCAGCTGAGCCCTGAGATTTTATCCCCTTGTTGCAATTGCACGCGGGCACCTGGAGCCAGGAGGGCATCAGCCAGGCTGGGCTGGCCCTGAGACACTGACAGCAGCAGCAACTTCGGGTCCTTGCCTGGAGGAGATGTTGGAAAGTAGGGCTGGCTCCCACCACCAGCAAGGGCAGCAGACATCACCCACGTGCTTGCACACGCACAGACCCCACACACAGAATTAGGGAGGGGAAGCCCCACGGCAGTGCCCTGCTGCTGTTTCCAAACACTTTGCAAATGTCACACGAGCACGCGGTGCCCATGGTGTCCCCGTGGGCCCTTCCCACCGGTGTTCAGAGGAAAGAGCCCTCTGAACAGTGCGTGGAAAAGAATAGGAAAGGCGCAGCAAAGCACAGAGATAAAGGCACTTCAGGAGCATCCTCGCCTAAATTAGCTTGCCTGATGGAGGTCCCCAGCGCACCGCAGCGGAGAGCTCGGTCTCCCTGGCAATGGTTGCCATGCAATAGCTTCTGTGGTGCTGCCTTCTCCTGGCTCCACTCAAATAACGTTCTCTTCCTAACAGGATTTATTTGTTCCAACGTCCCCGGGCAGGTACGAGTGATGGTGAGCCCTAGGAGACAGCAGCTCGGTGCTGGGGGACGCACGGCCCTGGGGAGCCGGCACCCTGCAGGATCCTCGTGGCCCCTTCCCACTGACACGGAGAGGAACGCAGTGGGGCGAGGAGAGTTGGCGTCTGGTGACGAAGCCACCCCAGTCCTGGAGCAGAAAAACGAGGTCAGTGTCACGGCAGAGCCAGCCTTTGGAGGGAGCAGACCCTGCTCTCCGCCTGCCCTGCCCAGCCACAGCTCCTTGGAACAGCACCGCCAGCCGCAGCCCTCCTGCAGAGGCCGTTTTGCAAACACAGCGTGGCCTGGGAGACGTTTCCAGCCGGTACTTTGGCGATGGCTCAGCCCCTCCAGCTCAGCTCACAACTGCTGTTTGGTGCTCGCCTCTTGCAGCCTGCTCTCCGCTCCCTAGGTTGATGGCCAAAGAAATTGATAGCAGAGCTCTCTGTCCCCCAGCAAACAATTATATTTGCACTGTGAGATGACTCCACTATTCTTTAAAATAAATCCTCATATAGGAGTGTAAGTCTCTTACTTTAAACCCAAATATTAACAAAAACAGACTTAATGCAGGAAGAAAAGGAGAAAGGAAAAGAACTGGGTGAGAAGAGGTAACAGCTACGATGAACAAGCACTTTGTCTTTTGGCATCCAATAAGTAGTTTAGCTTTAAAAATTACATCAATTTATACTTGTGCTGCCACTTCAAGCTGCGATTTTTTTTATTTTTTTTTATTTTTTTTAATGAATAATGCCTGGAGTGGAACGAGGCCTCTGAGGCTCCCAGAAGTCCATTTTTTAATCTTTATTGTGCACGGAGGGGTTCTGATTTGAAAAAGCATTTGATCATGTATTGTAAAATGAAGCAAATATTTAAAGTGTGTGCAGAGATACGTGGCGCTGGGTAGAGCAGGGCTGCAGCCACGTGCGTGCCTGGGGCTGTTTGAGTCCGGAGCCTCTGGGCACTTTTTGGATCTGGGTTTAGTGTTCACAACGCGTGCCTGTGCCCAGCAATTCGTTGATTTGGGTCCTGAAGAAGTGGCTGTACTTCTGCAGCTGTCCTTGCCCACTGCCACCAGCGGTTCGGTAGCTGTCCCACTGAAAATAGTCTCGTGTGCAATGAATTTCTTGCGTCTGATTTTTGTATCCACTTTTCCACATGAACAATGCCGTTGAACTGAACGTCAGTCATCAGACAGACGTAATTGGATTTGGAAAGTGTTATATTGTGAATTAAGTTGACTGATGGGGAAATGTCAGTTTTATTAACAATCTTCCTTCAGATGATAATTTTATATCTATACGGATGAATTACAGAAGAGTACTTGAAAGCATCCGTTCAAAACGATGAAGTCATTTTAATAAAGGCTGACTTTCTCTTTCATATACTTGTTTTTAAATATTTTATCTCCTTGTGGGAAACCATCCAATTAGGAGGCAAGACCAGCGTAAAAAATGCAACATAACCGAGCGATTCGTTTGCATCTGGACGCCGGGCACAAGGAGCCACGCAGCAGCACGAGCAGACTGTGTGCCTTTGGCTGGGGGCACCGGGCTCCTGGGGGCAGCCGTGGAGCATCGCCTTGGCACAGGAACCAGAGCGTGTTCGCCTCCTTGAACGCCGAAATCAAACCTGACGTCAAACGCTGGGAGT